AAGAAATCGGAAACAATCGCCTTGATATGTTGTCCTCGTGTATGTGTCGAGTAAACAAAAAAAATAAGTTTGCAAGATTGTCTACAGGCGCGGAACTAAAAATAAAGAAAAAAAAGTGGCCGATTTTGTGCCTTTTCTTCAGGACCTACAGTCACACACAGCTGCAGCCTGATGTAGGGTGATATCAATGACGAGGCTCGCTCAGAAATCGGTGGCTGCACGTATTAATCTTAGATATTTATTTAACATGTATTTTAGTGGTAAATTTGACCTTGTGAAATTTCAAAGTAGTGCTTTTTTTTCAATAAAAAACGAGAGCAACGAACTCGCCAGGATCAGCGGCGCTCGTAAACGACATTTAGTATAGTCGCTGAACAAGTTCGCCGTTGACCCGGCCAAGTTTGTTGGTCTCATTTTATAATGGAAATGTAGCTAAGCGTTGAAATTTCAAAAGGTGAAATCCACGACTAAAATAAACCTTTGATGAGAATTACGTTGGTACGTTCAGGCGCCGACGTTTTTCGGATGGTTTAGAGTAAGCTTTCACATTTATGAGAATACATCTTGCCAATTAAAATTTTTGAGCAAATTAAACAAATAGCTTGCAATTAAAAATAAAAACTTTCCTTAACTGTAACTTGGTCTCGAATATTTTTTGAATTTACTGCCGGTACTGCATATGACATGAATCCTAGTTTAATATAACCGTTTGTACTTTCTTATAGGTCGAAAAGAGCTTCAACGGTGTCGTCAGTCACAACGGACGCCACGGCGAAGTCAGTCGTCCATTCTTTCGGGGAAAAAAAAGTACAAACGGACGAAGTTGTCCGTAGTTAACGCATTAATTGAAAACAAATCTGCTCGTCAATTGTATTGGATAGAGGAAAAACAAATGCTGAGCAGTGAGCGCATTTCCCGACCGCGTTCAGACAGCCAACTTAGCTTGGAGAGGGCAGAACCGGAAGCAAGGCAGGCCATCAAAAACGCCTCTCCTGCTTGCCGATAGATGGCGCCCAACATTTGCGGAAAAGGCCCATTCCGTCAGTTCCGTGCCGCGTGAGTCCCGCAATGTGGAGACGGCCATCTTATCCAGTGTACGTGGCGCTGCTGGAACTGCTCCGGAAATTCGCTCTTTCTAGCGGCATCGTTTGTTCGTTTGATAAAATTAGTGATAAAAACGTCCATGGAACCGAAATGTTGTACACGTTTAGACTAGAAGACAGAATTACAGGCGGCCTTCGCTGCCGCTGAAGCTCAATCAACTCAACAGCTATTTATTAAACAACGTGCGCGACCTGCTCGAAAAACGAAACCGAAAGAAGATGAGTCGGGAGGGCGAAAGCTTTCTCCCGTCTGCCTGGAAAAGGAGAAAAACGCTTCGTTCCTCCCCTTTTCTCGTGTCCGCTTGGGGGTGCGTCAGTAAAAGGGAGGAAGACGTGCCGTTGCTGCTTTTTTCCTCCATTTTTTCTTAGAGTGCTCTGTGGTGTCTGTTCTTCCTATGTCCCTGTCTTCAAAGAGCAATCATGTTTTCTAACGTCTCATTAACTGAATTAAGGGCACAAACGAGCTAGTGAGTATTAAAGGAGCGATGCAACAATTTTTGTACTTTGCGCAAATACCGCTTAAAACGGATCCCTCACGTTAATGACATATGAAACACGCGTTCGTTTTTCACCCCATGCAATAGAAGTCCCAGAAAAAAATTAAAGAAAAACGAGCAGCGTTGACCCCCTCAACTCGCAGACAGAACAAGCGGCCACGTGATCTGGAGCCGATTATATGCCGCCAGTGTTGATCATAGCCACGCGCTGGGGTTGGCAAAGCGCAGGACAAGCGCTGAGTTCCAGACATTGTTATGGCTCGGCTGTTGTCGTCGTTGCAGCGATTGGACACGGGTCACTACCCGAATGCTTCTTGAGCTAGCAATTATCACGAGCCCAAGTCGAGTGCCCACGCAATGCTCGGGTCCAATCTATGAACCGCATTCAAATATCGTCACTTGGGTGTACTGCGATCGCCACGTTACGTCATCAAATTTCGCAAAGGAGAGATGGAATGAAAATTATCGCTTTTGTCATTGAAATTACACCGCAACAAAGGAGTTGCTTGGCCAGTGGCGTTGCGTGTGAGTATCCTTGAGTCCCAGGTGTGCCAGTAAGCTCGTGTCAAGTGAAAAACACTCCAATTGAATATCGTTGCACCAATCCTTTAAGCATGACAAAATCCCCGAGACAACGGGTAAAAACGACACGCACTCTAAGTGGTCTCAATGTTGATACCTTCTTTTTGATGTCTCGTTTGTACCAGCAGTCTTTGTTTGTCGTTGATATTGTAGATTTACTGAATGTGCTTACTGATTCTCCAGATGCACTTAATATCCGATACCTTTCTGATATTATACAGAGTGTTTAATTTTAATTTCAACATGTTTAAAAGAAAAAAGGTATGAGTTAAACGAGCGCCGTCCTCACCATGTATATATCAGGCTCTACGGACATTCTATAAGGGTATCATCATTAAGGTAAGATTAATTATTAACTTAAAATATGTACTTTACCTTGGTAATTATTGATCTTATGGGTTATGTGGAAATTGCAGAATTTAGGCCAATAACTTTTGGAGGTTTGACCACTTGAACTACTGTCGAGACCGGTTATAACGAAGTTGGTTATAACGCAAAAAGCGGTTACAGCGAAGCAATCACGGCTTCCCCTTCCCTTTTGCCCTTCGTTATAACCGAAGTCTGTTATAACGAAATAGTGGCAACAGCAAAGCGATCACGACTTCCCATTGCGTTGTGCACTTCGTTATAACCGAAGTCGGTTATAATAAAATCGCGGATATAGCGAAGTTATTTCCTATTCTCGTTGACTTCGTTATAACCGGTGTCGAGGGTATTTTTCAAAAATGTAGTGGCTTTTTAGAAATTAATCGAGCAATTTTCGTGTTTGTTTTCTCGTCCGATTTATAAATTAGACGCGAAAAGAGCGCTGCAAGTTAACACCTCTTAGAGAAAAAAGCCCAAGTGATGAAGTTTTCTGCGTAACTAAAGGAAGCCTCTGCAGGCCGCAGATTGGACATAACACGGCGTCAGCGTACGGCTAACAGTCATGCTCTCACTGATTTGACTAGAGTTCCAGCGAACGCTAACCTGACGCCGTGGTCGTGTTCAATCTCTAGCCCACTGTGGCCTTCTCTAATGACGCAGGACAACACTTAACCCTTGCTCTTTAAAAGGTTTTGTGCAAGCCCTGTCCACAATGACGCTTAGAATAGTGGCGTAGTCGTTTCAGCAACGTCGTCCCTCGTGTCATCGGCGTACGCACCAAGGACAAGCTGCCGATATAGTGACGATATGACTGAAACGACTGCGTCACTCTTCCAAGCAAGATTATTGCCGGGTCTTCCGGCGCACTTTTTGGACGCGATTTTTAAATCGGGAGAAAAAACGCGAATCTTGGTGGATTAATATCTAAAAAAAGGCATTACTTTTCGCAGTTTTTTTTTAATTAGCACGGAAACCAATAGTGCTTGCCGCCAATGCTGCAATTGTAACATGACCATTAAACCAATAATTATAAACTTAATAAACAGATTTTAGTTCCTTAGTCAACTTTTTATGACGATTATTTGTTCATCTAATATCCGCTAAGTCCGACATATACGTGGTGAAGGCGGCTTTCGCCTAACACTCCCCCTTATATAAAAAAAGAACGGAAGATACATGTTTGGCATAAGATTAACCCACTGTATATTAAAATAGATATAATCTAATTTTAAAATACCGTCGATTCGTCTTTTTATTTCTCAACAAACTCAGTGGCGCCACCTATTGTGTAGTCCCGGCGCCCTTCTCGTTCAAGTATATTTCTTAGTTTTTTACTCATTCTTTTTATCATAACAGTGAATTACGTCTGAGAGCGCTATAAGTCAATTTCCAAAAGATAGCGCGTATATTTGATTTAGAAAATACTGCGTAACCATACGCCTAGTTCGCAACCGAAAGCGTTTGGGGCTATTTGCACACTGGCGCCACCATGTGTTAACTCACGCGAGAAAGAGCGAATACAGCCACAACCTTTTTTATACTGACAATGTCTGCCCGATTTCTGGCTTCCCCGTGCTTTCACTCTTTTGTTCCTGCTTCCTATAATCACCGCCAGGTGCGCCACCTCCCCACACAATGAAGATGATGTTGTGTGTTTTTATGTAACTTTATACTGCCTGAAGTTAGCTTGCCTCAGCTTGCGACTTGTCTCTCAGGTGTAGATAAGCAATTTAGCCAGTGCAGTACAGCCGCTAGCTTCGGGTTTTTAACGTGCACCACGCAGTAGTGATACTCAACCGCACGCTTGCACGATGCTCATCCAGACCGAAACGGGCGGGGGTGGCGACTGCTCTTACCGCCACGTAAATAAGTCCAATACTGTCGTAACACATATTTCATAATTTCATAGCAGGTGAGCAGCAGCTTTCTGAAAGTAAATAAATTTACTGGATGACCCAGCACAAATTACAGCCCAATAGCCGGTGTGGTAAACTTTACCAATGTCGGAGCAGCGAATATGAACGTTTTTATTGCTGAGGCCAAGAACCAGAGAAGTGCAGAACGTCAAAAGGAATCCCAACGGCCAGAGTGTTCAAAGCGAATATATGACTGACCATAGACTTACCTGTTCTGATATATCATTGTAGACTATACGCCAACAAGATCTTTAATATTTATTAAAAAGAACACCCAGACATTTGCACTATGTTTGTGGAAATATAACGTCAAAATGTCTTCTTCCTATTCAGGTTTTGAGAGATGGCGAGCTTATGTAGAAGTTCTCATTGTAGAGGGTCATAATTATATGGTATAATTGTTCTTTTCTGAACTTAGTAAGTAAAGAATCAGAGAAATGCATTTAAAATGACTATTATGCTAGCCAGTGGTTGGGCGAGACACCAGAAAGAAGCTTGCTTCGGCGTTTTTTGTTTTTTTTCATTCAAGAGGAAGATCAGGGTATCAGGCTCCCTGCAGTATGGAGAAAAAATAAGAGTTCATAACTGATTGATCAAGATATAAAAATTAAGTACAGCAAAGGTAAGACAGAGGACAAAGGACAGAACATGTAGACAGGACAAGCGCATGTCCTGTCTACATGTTCTGTGCTCTGTCCTTTATCTAACTTTGGCGCTGTTTAATTTTTATATTATGCATATCCAGCTAGCCCACCTCAATATTTTAGTTATAGATCAAGCTCCGGCCCGTACTGACACCATTTTCTTTTCCGCTCCTTAAACTAAATGCAACGAGGTAGAGGGGCTTAGGGCGATAAACTCGCAGCTGAAAGTGACCCCCCCCCCCCCCCCGGCCGCCGCCATGTTGCCCATTTTTGACCACTAAGTCGGTGACAGGTCAAGAATGAAGTGGAAGCTCCTCTCACCCCTTTCCACTTAAACGGAGAGAATGGTGAAGAGGAAGTCCCCAATCCTCCAGCGTTCGCACTACTAAAGTGGAAAGAGGTGGGAGGAGCTTCCACTTCGTTCTTGACCTGTCACCGAATGCAGTCACCTGACCTCATAGTTTTACGTCTAGATTTTAACCAAGTACCACGCAAAAATAATCTCTAATCGATCTTTAATAACAGTACCGACGAGGTAAGTTATGTTTTGTTTGTGTTAAGTCCAAGATGTGTTGTTACAACAAAAGCTCGGCCAGCTTCGAAGTGATTCCGCTAGATGCAATCCGCCGAGGTGCCATATTTTGGGTTTTTATCGGAGCTAGATATCAATCTCTGGGGCTAACAATATCGAAAAAAAACAAAAACATTTATCATGCTTTTACAGCGATAACAATACAAGTATCGGCACAGTTCTGCGTAAAAAAAGCTCAGGAGTTTGTAAGGCCACGTGTCTTGTGGTCAAAATTGTACAACATGGCGGCAACCATGGCGAGGGGGGGGGGGGGGGGGGGGGGCTTTCTTGCCTAGTGGACGGGATACCGGTATATCGCTCTAAGACCCTCTATCTCGTTGACTAAATGGTTGCTTTAAAATGACGTGCTTTCTTAAGACTACAGATAAAATTGGGACACAAAATACGTAGCGTGTTTTGAGCTGCACTGTGTTACCGTGACATCTATATTAGGTGTTGCGCATACAGTTGGCTATCTAGGAGTACCTGCAGGTGCCCAGTGTTACCACGGTGCCTGGAACGCGCCTCCGACTGGTGTTTGCAGTGTCCTATTCCGCCCGTGCATTGAAAGTAGTCTCCAAGTGGCAACAAAAGATCTCACAGAAGCCGGAGTGTCATGCTGTCGGATCTCGCGATCTTGGCGGTCGGCCGTGGACGTTTTGGAAAAAAAAGCACGAAAGGGGCGGAAGCGTTGATGTCGTCGCGGCGTCCCAACTCCTGCTTTCTGAAAGGGATCATAAAACGATATCTGGGTAGAACTCTCATGACTTTACAAAGGTGAACTGGTCCTAGTCATGCTTAAGTATACTCGCACAGAGCGGCACTAGTTCAGAAGCTCCTTGGTCGCGGGGAATTTCCGAAAAGGAAACTATTTCTTTCAGTCTTGCCTCGCAAAGCTTGACGGCGTAATTGTGGGATCGAAACCATCCGCCTGATGACAGCTGAGTGCAGCTCTTCGATTGGACACGACAACTTCGGGAGCGCTCGACTTCGGCTCGTAACAATCAACGCCTCGGCGGACACTTGGGTAGTGGCTGTGTCCAACCACAGCGGTGATGGGAATCGCCGAATTCTCACAATGCCTGGAGCTCAGAGCGCGTTTTCTACTTTGCCGACCCCAGCACGTTGCTATGATTAACGTTGCACCATAGGATATGCACCAGGACAAGTGACTGCTTGTTCTGGCTCCGAGTTGAAGGGATGAACGATGTTTCAATTTTGCTAATTAAACCAAGCCAAGTTTATTCGAGTATTAACGTTAGGGAGTGATTATGAGTATTATAGACAAATCGTTTCATGGTCCCTTGTAGCTTCCGTGGACTGTCAGGCTGGAGAGCTGCCTGCAACAGAACAGGCGGCTGCCACATCCACCACTGCTGCTGTGACCCCGCCAGGATAGCGGCCGGCGACAAAATGACGATTCTATCACATCAGGCGGAAATCAAGGGACCACATTTTTGGGACGCGGTAAACAGACCAGTCGAAGACGCGTTCCAGGAGCCATAGTGTTACTTGACACCGTGACGTCATGGTGTTAATACCACGTGCTTTGGTTGCAATGTCGTGTGGCCATTATTTACGAAATTTATCCTCTAACTTAAGTGGGGAAGTTGTATTCTACATGTTGTACTTTCATTATGAAGCCTCTGTTGCACTTCTCCTTAGCATTGTTTTATTAAACCTAGCCCTACATACCCACTTTCATAGCTTGATTCTATTTTATTAATTTCATTAAAATTTATTTTTTAATTGTTCTACACGCGCAACCCCGTCTCTCGCCTGAGATAATATAGAAACGAGCAAGTATTTTGCGACGTCAGAGCTCACTTACACTTTGGTTCGTGGAAACAATCGGGCACTCAATCCACATACATTCTGATGGTTCTCGAGGGCCCGATGTGCTTCTTGACAGAGATTCCCGCTCACCGGCAACGCACGCAGTGAGAAAGCAGGCGCCAGACCCGGCGCAGAGTGCCCTGATGGACATCTTGGCTAAGTCCCCCTTGCGGCCGGGACAGAGCGATCCGAGAGAGCCCAACATGATGCCGACGGAGCCCAGGTTGGAGAATCCCCACAACGCGTACGTGGCGATTATCACCGACCTCTCCTGCACATGATATGCCCGGAGAAATCCAGGAGCGTTAATACCAACTATGGTAAGGCATGAGAAACGAATGACTTGTGTCCACGAGGGACCTTAGCGTTCACTAGAGTAACTAGATGGCGGAGTAGAGCATCCCAATTTTGTTTCTTTCATCGACAACTCTGACTGGCAGAGAAAGGGTCACCTGCGCCAAATTCCACTACTTGGGGTAAAGCGGCCTTGCAGACCGGCGGCTTTGGGGTGGGACATGTGCTTCTCTCTGCGTTCACGAAATGTAGATTGAGGGGGGTGTTCCTGCGTTCTTTTTCCTCGATGGCTGTGATAACGAGGGTATCTTTTTCCGTTCCTCCGCTAGTGCTGATCACTGCTGAGAGGCGAGGAGGTTTCGCCTCTTGTTTTCACGCTTTCGAGAGCGGGACTGCTCCCGCGGATGCGATAGAGATCGGACGTGTCGCGAAGGTCTTCCTTCGCCCGCTCTGAACTGCGCTCTCGGGACGGTGTCGACAGAGTGAGCCTTTCATCTGACCTTGTCGGCGCGGGGGTTTTGGGACAGTGTGTCTTTTGATGTTCCAATAAACACCGTTGGACCCAGTCCTATTGTGGTACGTGCTCCTCCTTTTTAGAGAAGCGGTTAGTTGTGCGGCTTACGTTCGTACCCGCCCTTAGCGGTGTTCTCGACAGAAAGCTGCGAGGTGTGGGAGCAGGCTTGGCGTCTCTCGATTGGAGACCGCCGCTGAACCATTCGGTCACACCACCTGCGACCTTCCCACATAAAATGGCGCCGAACGTGGGCCACGACTTCCCGTTATTATGGTCATGGCTCCTGGCCTCCGTCCTTTTGTTCGGCCTATTTGCCCGCATTTTTTGCCTTTGATCGCTCCGTACCACGAGTGTCCTGATCTCACCCTTATGGTTGAGCGATTAATGCCGAGTCGGCAATCCGCAGTGCCACTCTTTTAAGCGAGCACAGTGTGATTCGTACGTGTGTTCCTGTTTTGAATTGGCGTGAGTCAAGCAACATTCGTTGTTGCCAAATACTCTTTGTTCTCCATGCTTGAACCGAACCAATCACCTTTGTGTATTTGGGTTCGTAGCGCGCCAATAACAACTTGTCATGAAGGTAAGATGTATATAGAAGTTTTGATGACTTTTTTTGAGAACCAGGTGGACTTTTATGACCGGAGGAGAGCGAGGTTTGGCAGGAAAGAGTTGAGAAGGATCAGCAGTGCAATCTGGGAATGTAAATATTGGCGTTTTCTTTGACCCGGAGTAGTCGCGGACAGTCATTTAGAGTCGGACGGTACGGCAGCTAATTACGTCGATAAGTAGCTGATACTGCTACTGACGGGCTCGACGAGCCGGGCCGCGTAACCGACGGCGTCGACAAGCAGTTTGCACACTGTTGACGCGCGCGCTGTATTCACTGCTGGTATTGCAGTTGGCGCGGGGAGTTTTCTTCGGGAAAGATTTGTATCTGCTGGATGCCAATGTACTCCTACAGCCTGTTGTTGTTTTCCAGGAGCTAAACTAGTTTTGCGTTCATGGTGGTTGCGCTACGCGGACTAAGGCGCAATTTGATAGTATCTGGGTGAACGAGTGGCTGTAAGTCGTTCGCAGGTTATGTTGCTCTGAAACCCGGGCGTTATGTACTCAGAGCGCCCTATGGCGTTATCTGTCAGACTCGCGTGATCCAGGTCGAAGAGTGACTCTAAGACTCTGAGCAGTTACGTTGCTCTCAAACCTGGCCTTGCATCAAAAGAAGGGTCCACACCGTTGTGAGCCCTTGATCAAGCCGCATCAAGTGCAAAACATGTTTTTCTAGCCTTGGTAAGCTAGCTAGCTCAAATATTTGGCGAAGCTAGCAGGTTAGAGCGTGTGAACTACGGCCCCTTTTGCATTCCTCCTATGGAAGCAAGATGGCGGCTATTTTGCGCGGGAACTTGCGTCTACCCCGCTCGCAGACACGCATGCATGGCGGTTTGTTTCTATCCGTGCCTTCGAAGTCCCCGTATCTATTTACTTCGACTTCAGAGGACGGGCCAGCTGCAGACTGTTATCTCTTTTTAGCCACTTATAGTCAACGCACTATTTCGGTAACTATAAAACCGGGTATTGTAGGCAGCTACTGTGTCAGCTGCCTGCGCAAAGGATTGAGAACTCTGCATTTTTTCTAGAACCTCTCTCCCCGGTGTCCACATTAAGCTAACTCGATTAGTTTTGCTTGGCATGTGGACGCGTTTCGAACGGATAGGCCCCCTTTTATGGCTTCTTCCGGTGTCGACGCGGGTCACTGTGGCATATATCGTGTGGCCGCTCGTTGGGTCCGTTTCCAAATTGAGCGCCTTCGATCCTGTCACCGGTGACAAACTGGCCACCTTTTTTGGGATTTTTGTTTGTTGTTTGCTCCTGCCCGTTTCTGCCGCCTTTGCGGTCGGGCCGGCGGGCGTCGGTTGCTCGCGGCCCCTCGTTTGGAGGCTGCGGCGACCTTTGGGAGGGCTGCGACCGGCTCTGGGCCTGTTGTCAGCGGGCATTACGACTTCGCAAATCTGCTCCGAGGTCGTCCACCCCTATACCAATGCACTGCAGCCGAGATGGTGCGGAACCCCCTGGGTGACGTGTCTAGGACATCCCCAGCTGGTCTCCGCGGGTGGGCGGTGGTCGTTGGCCTTTTTGGTGCTGCCGCCTTCATGACCGCCTCACCGTCTCACCGCCTTTCACTGCAGCCAGCTCGCACCACGACACCTGGGTCCAGGTGCATCAGCACGGTACATGTGATGCTCTTTGCGGACCTGTGGCGTGACTGTCAAGTGCTTGGGACTTGAACTTTCCGGGTCTTCGGTCCTGCGGGCCAGCTGTTGACGGCGGACACTGTGAAGACGCGCGCTGGGCGTCGCGTGTATTTGTTGGGGATGCGCATAGAGATATTTTATTCTATGAGAGCATCAAAGTATTCTGGCTGGATAGTTGGTTACACATACTAAATTACAAATTACAAATCGAATTTCAAGTGACTCGTTTAAAAGCTTCGGGCTACCCCTTTTCAGTTCTGACTAACATCGCCGAAAAGTTGTTGACAAAGAACCAATGAAGAGAAAAAATCAAAGAGAAGAGACGCCGTCCGGCTGTGATGCCTTACATCCACAAGATTTTTCACAACATGAAGAAGACAGCATTCACGTTTGATGTCCAAGTCGTAATATCGGCACCGAATAAATGAAAACGAATGTGCCCCAATATCAACAATGTCAAGAAACAACATCATGAATGCCACAGAACCCACAAGCACCGGTATGTCAACTGCAACAGCGGAGTGGTGTATGAAATCCCTGTCACACGTGGGAAAGTGTATAAAGGACAGACTGGCCGCTGCATGCGTATCTTTCGATATGTCGACGACTACCTGGTCCTCCTTCATTTTCGTCCCGATGAATGTGACAGTCATCCTATCGACAGTGTGCGTGCCACATTTATGGAACAAGCTGAACAGCCCAACTTTACTATGGAGGTACCAACGGACGGGATTCTACAGTTTTTAGACCTGCAGATTACTTTCAACAAGCACTAGACCTGCTGGATGTACCACCCACGTTCTAAAAAACAGTTATTGCGCTATGACTCATCACACTCCAAACTTGTTAAGCGAGGCATGGTGTCTAATTCTTTAAGCATGGCGTTAAACATATCATGTGAGCACAGAGCAAAATCAAGCTTCGAATTACAATTGACTTGTGTGAAGGCTTCGGGTTACCCCTTTCCAATTCTCACTGACATCGCCGAAAATTTATTGACAAAGAACAAGAGAAGAGAAAAAATCAAAGAGAAAAGACGCCGTCCGGCTGCGGTGCCTTACACCTCAAGATTTCTCAAAACATGAAGAAGGTAGCATCCATGTTTGATGTCCAAGTTGTAATATCGGCACCGGATAAATTAAAACGAATGTGCCAAAAAATCAACAATGTCAGGCAACAACATCATGAACGTGACATAAACCGCAAGCACCGGTATGTAAACTGCAAAGCTGAGTGGTGGGTATAAAATCTCTTTCACATGTGGGAAGTGTAAATCGGACAGACTGGACGCTGCATAAATACACGGCTGAGAGAACATGCTGTGACCTTGAAGTTAACATTTTCTGCACCTTTAGCAATGCATGTGCGAGAGTGCTTCTGCACACCTTTGCTTTCGGGCACAAAGGAGATCAGACGTTTCAAAGACAAGAGGCACAGGGAAATCTTTGAAGCCCAGACCATACAAGCCAATGGAGAAACATGCGTCTCCGCATCATCAAAGAGGTTCAGTACTTGACCCACTACATATGACAATCTTAGGAATTACGTTTGCACGAGAGCGCGTGAGGTAGGGCACCGGCTGGGTCTTCGCGCTCGCGCCGGTATAGCTTTGTCCGTGGTGCCTGTTGGATGTAAAAAGGAAAATAGGCTGTACGAGGCACTGATCGGCGGCCTAGGAACGCGGTCACTTATTAATTTTTTATTCAATTTTATTATTCAATTTTTTATTCTTATTTTGTCACTCACGGTCTAGAGGTTATTTTCTAATCCTTCAAAATATTATCGTATATAGTTCAAATGTATTACCTTTGTTTAATTTTTAATATTTTCGTTTTGGTTTGCTGTGATGTTGTCTTTTAGTCTTACCACCTCTTTAGAGCGCCCCGGCGAGAAATCGACTTATTTCTTCTTTCAACACCAGGCACTTCCTTCACCTTCTTCTTTATCGTTGTATATAAAACCGTCAGTTTTGAGTTAGCGCCTGTCCTGCCCACTAATTCTTCTGTCCTTTTCTTAGCGCTATTTGTAATTTGTTATGAGAGCAGGTGGGTCTTTATTTTTTATTGAGACCCCCCTACCGTTTTAAGGAGGGGGGGGGGATGTGGGGATTCATGTGGTTTCCATCTCCGATGGCTGTGATAACGGTCGTGGGTCGGAACGCTCGGCCGCCATCCCCGTGAGCTCCGACCTGTTCGTGAAGCAAGGGGTTCCCTG